TTATATCCTCATTGATTTTCTTGAAAGCCAGGTCAAATCACTTATTGCCTGACTGTAATTAGCAGTAATGCACAGTGCAAATAACAGCAGCCCCACAAAAGAATTGGCACATGCAATGATTTTTTTAGACTAATATTGATATTATGCCCATCCACACAGCACCAGATTCAAAATTCTAGATGCAAAATTATAAAGGAAATTACATTTTCAATGTAAGGCCTATACTTAATACCCAACTCCAGGAAACCTGAATATTCTCCTTTGCAGTGGGGCTGCACCCACACTACAAGGATTAACTGAAGGTTTAGTCTAGAGCAGGGGTCCCCCAGCCTTCTAACCAAAGGGCCATTTCATTGTCCTTTATTGTCCAGACTATGGCCAGTAGGAGTAGATAATGTCTCGGGCTTTGCGGTAATACAATTGCATAGTACCTCTGTGTGTCAGTAGGAAGAGAAATAGTGCTTCATCATTGGTTTTAGTGGGAAGAATGGTGCCTCCATCGTTGGTGTCAATGGGAGAAATACTGCTCCATCACTGGTGTCAGTTGAAGGAAGAGTGCCCCAATTTTGATGTCAGTTGAAGAAATTGTGCCCCATTGTTGGTGTAAGTGGAATAAATAGTGTACCATTATAGTGTAACATCACTGTTGTCAGAGGAAGAAGTTATGCCGCATTGCTGGTTTCAGAGGGAGGAATAATATCCCAAGGGTCGGATAAAGGAAAGCATCATTGGTGTCAATGGGAAAAATAGTGCCCACATTGTTGGTGTCATTGGGAGAAACTTTGCTCCATCGTTGATATCAGTGGAAGGAATAGTGCCCCAATGTTGGTGTCAGTGGAAGGAATAGTGCCCCATCCTTGGTGTAAGTGGAATGAATAGTGTGCCATCATAGTGCAACATCAATGGTGATAGAGCAAGATGTTATGTTGGTGTCAGAGGGAGGAATAGTATCCCAAGGACTGGATAAACATAAGCATCATTGGTATCAATGGGAGGAATAGTGCCCCCATTGTTGGTGTCAATGGGAAAAATAGTGCTTCATCGTTGGTGTCAGTTGAAGTGCAACATCGCTGGTGTCAGAAAAAGAGGGTATGCCTCACTGTTGGTGTCAGAGGGAGGAATAGTATCCTAGGGGCTGGATAAAGGCAAGCAAAGGGCTGCATCTGGCCCGCGGTCGCAGTTTGGAGACTATTGGTCTAGAGGCTGCAAAAAGCAATTTTACTTACCTGATCCTCCACTCCCCTGGCAGACTGCACTCCCCTATTCTCTAGCAGTGGTCTGTCCCTCTGCTTCCCCACGGCCAATGCAGGGCTGATTACATACACAGAACATCTACTGTTCCATGCCCCCTAGACCTAAACGAGCAGTTTATCCTTGGCAGTGCCACTTCAAGGAAGAATTTTCACGTTTCCTGAAGGTCAGCCATAAATAATATTCGCACATGGTAAGCAGGAATTATATCTTTTTTCTCATTTCCTCAGCAGTAGAAGAGTTCCACTTTACTTTTGCACTCTATTGGACTTTGCCACTATTAATATATATAGCTGTAAGCAAAGTATGAGGATAAAGTAAATATTTTATCACTAACATAATGAAAATTCCAACGAGTGTCATTAATGGGAAATAACAATACATGTCACAATAGGATATGTTTATGTAGTAAGGATTATAACACAGGGCTGAGCTGTGTAATGTCTCCAGACAACAAAATAACATGATTCTGAGTGGAGTATTTATTTGCCGGCTAGAAGAAACACAGCAAAGTCAACGTGGGCCAACTAGGTGTGACGGTGGCAATTGTCTTTAGACCGCCCACGCACTCATGTCATTAAAAGTGTAAAACAATGTGTCTATAAATGAACAATGAGTCTCTTTAGATCACAACTATTGGCCAATAACGTCAAAGTGGAAACATTTGTAGTGGATATTTTAATCTGCACCAGTGAGGGGTTGTGTTTGAAAGTTAACCTGTCAATACATTCATACATGGTGAAAGATGGATCAAGATTTCGATCCATGTATGGGCTACAAGGTTGTATACAAGTCAATCTATCAATCAGGAGAGATTCTCCCATCAACACTTACTGTGTTGATAGGAAAACCGAGCAATGTTCTTTCTTTCCACCCATGGTGGAAGAAAAGAAATGTGCACAATGTATGGCCTGTCTTAGTATTCTAATTAAAAAATACTGCCCATAAGTCAGCCATAGACAATGGACAGCACTGACCAGATCTTGAAACATCTATACAATAATGATTGTATACCTTACACATGCTACAATGCTACCTTTACATAGGCTGACTGCCCTTCATTCCATCATGAATGCTGCTACCAGATTCATCCACCTTACTAACCATTCACTGTCCACCACCACACTTTGCCGATCCCTCCATTAGCTTCCGTTAACCCTGTCACGGATCGCGGCGTCAGACCCCAGACCTTCTCACCAAACTCGTGATCGAAGGACTGGCCAATCGGAAATCGCGATGTGACGTGCGTAACAATGACACACCCAGCTGCACCCTGCGCAGCGATTTTCCAGCTAATGGACTACAATCTGTGCCTGCAGCCTGAATGCGCTTGTTACTGGGTCAGGTTAATCACGCAATTAACAATTCACTGCCACCACCTCCTTTTGAACAGAGAAAGAGGAAAATCACGTTATCAGTATAACGCTATAATGATTGAAATAATCGTCTGTATAAAACGGTCTGCAGGCCGGTTATACAGAGGTTTAAACCAACAGTAGCGTCTCTTCAAAAGGCAGGGATTCGTAAATTGCAATTAAAAGCTATATTAACAGTTCAACACTTTCAGAAAGGAAGATTTATTACTAAAAGGTCAAACAGGGTGCAATAAAAATATTTACATTAAAAAGATGTAACTAAGATATATATATATATATATATATATATATACACACACACACACACACACAAAGAACCATAGCACAGCAAAGAGATATCAGAGAGAAAGGGAAGAGTTAAAGTACTTGCCAAACCCCTGGGTCAGCAGATCCAAGTTGCAGAGCAGAAGCGGGATTTGATCTTCATATGTTACGATGGAAAGATAGATGTCTTCAACTTACTTTTTAGGCCTGCTAGCCTGTTTTTTAAAGTCCCCCAGCAGGGGGGTGGCTCTGAGTAACTGACCAATACGCTGTTTAGGGAGGGATTGGCAGGCGGAACCCAAAATTAGAACCAGCATCTTTCAGAATTTATATTCTGTCCTATAACTTCCCAGCTGCACAAGCAACAATCTCTCCGCGGGTATTTTATTATGCAGATAAGTCTAAGGATCATGTAGATATGAATTATGAAATTGTAGGTTACACGGTGTACGAGTTCTATGTTTTGGCTCCCCTGATGATCTGAGGTGGACGAGTGACCCATCAAAATGTTTGTCGGAGCATTGGCCATCTGACGAGGTGCCCGGTTTTTATGTAAGTCTTCCATATTTCCAGATATGAAACATAAGGGAAAAACTGATTTTACCAGAAGTTATCTGATCCTGCCACCTAAGCTGAGCTAGGTTTTATGAGGTTACAATTCTTTCAATTCCTGAGAAAGCTGCCTTATCTCTGTTACGAGGTGAGAAATTACACAGGTTCTTGGGCAGAGAGGCTCTGTCTCTCATGGCCTTATCCTGGCCTAGGTGAGAAAGGCTACACTTTCGCAGACTGCTAGGCACTGAACTAGGTGCCTTGGCCTGTCAGTGACCCATAACCAGCCACATATGTCACTGTGCCTCTCAGGAAGGAAGAGGGGAAGGAATGAGGGGAGAAAATGGGGAAGCTTAACAAAATGGTAGGACCGTGTCCATCTCTGATGCGTAAGTGTGCGACAAACCCAACAAATAAAATGTAGAATACTATCAACAACCTACAAAGCCATCCACAAGTCCGCCTTAAGCTACATCACCAGTCACATCTCAAAATACCAACCAAACTGTTCTCTTTGGTCCACCCAAGACCTCTTGCTCTCTATCTTCTCTGTCATCTCTTACCATGTTTATATATATATATATATATATATATAAAAATATATAAATCCTGTATGATAATAATAATAATATGCATATCAAATGATGTTTCTGGGTAAACAAAATATTATTGTATAGAAGTTTTTGGTTATCTTAACGTGGAAAAACAGATGTCCAAAGGATAACTGTTGATGAATTTTGGCTCTGCAGACCAATTTGTCTAGGTTAGATCTTTGCTAGGTGAACAAACATTTGACTTTAAATCACTAGTGACATCATCTTCCCAAGAGTAGCATGGGCCTGCAGAAGGCAACCTCATTCATGTGGTGTGGGTTTACAGCCTCAAAGAGGTGTCAAAGATTGGGACTAGACTGACTGCAATAAACTATGGATTGAAATGGGATGACTAGTTCTCTATAAACTGCAAAATTACATATAGACCTTTATTTAAGTACATATTGCAAATATCAGTCATGTAGCAGTAACATGTGACACCAATTGTTTATTTCATTTAGATCTTTACCATTTTAAAAAGAAGAAGAAAGGAATGGAAGGGAGGGAAAATAAGGGGCAATGTGTCTGAAGATCAGTATAATATTGTAGAGCAGCCTTTCTCAACCTTTTTACCTCAGAGGAACCCTTGAAGGAATTTTCAGGTCTCAAAGAACCCATGCAAAAATTAGTTAATCGGGTGTCAGTGGGAAGAATGTCACTTATATTGGTGGTCAGTAGGATGAACTAAATTCTTGAGAGGTGGTCAAAATGCCCCTTACATTGGTGGTCAGTAGGAAGAATTTAATTCTTACAGTGGTGGTCAGAATGCTACAGACAGCTAAACATTCATTGGTTTCATTCCACAGGTTCTGTCAAATGGCATAGGACCTGGTACTATAGAGGCACCATAAGATGGGAGATCAATTAGCCACAATCAAGGAACCCCTACCAATCACTGGAGGAACCCTAGCGTTCCACAGAAGCCTTGTTGAGAATCTCTGTGGTAGAGCCTGTGGGAACTTACCTGAGATGCGTCTAGGCACATCCGAGATAGCCGGGAGCCCAGTTCCTCGGCTGGAGGATAGGGGTGTTGTGGAATGAATGGATGGAGAGGTCATCTGGCTCAGGTATGATGGATAGGACTGGTCATAAGACCACGGAGGGGATGACTGTGCTTGCCTTGGGTCTGCAAATAGAAAATGATAAAATATACTGTTACTGAGTCTCTATTCCAATAATTGTTTTTATGATATGGAGCCACCAACCATCAGTGATGGCGTTCATAAATACAAATTCTATATGTAAGCTAGATGAATGCTCCATAGTCTTAAACTCACCTGTCCATGACTGAATGAGTAATCATTGACTACATCACAGAGCTGCTTGTTAACAGCTTGCCCTCATGCCCATTCACTTCTTTTCAGGAGCTCCACAGAACTAAATAGCTCCATAGAAATTATTGGGAGTGCAGAGGGTACACACAGACCTGGATGTTTTAAAGAGCTGCTCTGCGATCTAGTTGGAAATTTATACCAGAATGTGGACAGGTCAACTATAAAACCTGTAGGTGTCTAGTTAGGTACAGTTACTACATAAAAAATGAGTTCCTTTGAATGACTGTCAATTATAAATGTACAAAGGGGCAGCTATATATGCTCATTACATATGCAAGCACTGCTTCCTACTTTGTAGTGCTACAAAGTAGTAGCAGTTTACTACTCCTCCTTACAAAACAAGCCTTTGAGTCACCTGACTGATTGAAGACAATGGTGTCTTATCTAGCAGCTATTAACCATTTAAGAGAAATACACTTAATAGCCAGCTTGTAAAATTATTAAAGTCACATCAAACATTATTATAAATAAATCACAAAAAAATAATTCCAACTATCTGCTTAATGAAAATATATGTTTCCTTCCCTTACTGAGCATAGTGGATAAATATTCATTTAGAGTGAAGGCATTTTTGAATACAGGTCCGACATAAGAATAATCACTGTGCGGTGTGGAGTTTAGGGTGATGAGCGGAAATTTCCTCTCGCCCTGTTTTTTTTCCCATCTGGCAGGGTGAGGCCCGGCTGCAGATTTGGCAGGGAGGACATCTGTGTCATTTCCATAAGTCATATTGTTTGCTTTATTTCATTCTTATTTCCTAAAATTTCTGTACAAAGGAAATCCAAACTAAACAGCCTTTTACACAGCCAGCATGTGCAAGAGATTAGTGAGCTGGTCCAGGCTTTTTATAGGTCAGCCTAATGAGGTCTGCTTTAGTCATTGACCTGTACCTAACAAACTACTGGACAGTCATGGTAGACAGGGTGGTTAGAGGCTGCACCAGGATAGAATCCAACCCATGACTTTTCTTGGATTAAAGGTACTTTTCCTGTTGTATAGAGTATTGCTTTCCTAACAGCTTTTCTGGTTCATGTTGAAATTGGATGATGGAGCTTTTCTGACAAACCTATTTAAGGCAGCAGTACCAATATTAGTTCTTGGTTCTGTTTTTTTTTTTATATGAAAACCAGACAGTGTAAAATATAAAAAAAAAAGCCCTTTTTGAAAGACGAATATCATGACAACCCAAAGCCTCATAGACTGTTTAACAAGAAGCAGATAGGTTAGAACCTTTTTTTACAGCTGTGAACCCATGGGTGAGATTTCTCACACTTCCTGTTCCAGTGACACTTTTGCGTGCCATGGTGTAAGGGTGTTAGCGGGACAGGAAGTAAGGGAAAATCTCCCCAATGGGGACTTAGACACTTTAAAAAAAAGTTCTAACTTTATGAAAAAAAGTCTCTTAAAACTGCACCACAATGACTTTCGATGTGGGTTGCTGCTTTAGTTGCACGCAAATGACAGCAGACAGTTGTACAAGGCTGCAACTGAGCATGATTGTGGCTTAATAGCAATACATAGCAAAAGTTAAAGGGATGGATGCCGGGAATGCTGCAATTGCCACCGACTTGTTTTTTGAAGATTCAACAGTACTATCCTTTAGCTATTTAATGAGTCATTGACCTTGAATAAGCCTCCTGCTACTAAAATCAGCCTAACCAGACTGTAAAGACATGCACAGTACAACTCACAGAAACCTCTGCAAAGAGGTCTGAATGGCTTTAATCTCTGAATGTCAATTAGGAACTTAAAGTATACTGTATAATAATATCTAAAGCCAGAAAAATTGTATTTATTTATTTTTTTTATAAGAGTGGTGAAGGACAAATAGAGAGGATGAGGACACGGACCAAAATAAGAACATGACAGTGGTTCTAATCCTCCCCAACTGTACCCAAAATACAAAAAAGTTAACATAAAGCATTTCTTCTATAAAATTTATTATGGAATGACAATCTAATAAAAATAAAACATAAATCTAAATAAATTGGATCAGTGCAAGAAGCCCATTTTTTTATGAATAATCACTATTAATTATATTCATGTGTTATGCATTGTAGTTATTCAGGTGCTAGTGACATAAGAAAAATTTCAGAAGGTGCAGGCAGAAGACACATATTCAGTTATATTTCCTGTACACAACAACAAGGAACACAGGTCCTCAGTGAAAATGAAGCAGCTCCTTCCTGTGCGTGCTACAAAACTGCGATACACCAAGCTGCAAATATCGCCAGTTATCTCGTTCCAAAATAAGTTAACTGGTGACTTTGAAGAGCAGCCCTTGTGCCTGTGTGCTGCACATGCTAACGATCTGAGCTCCTTTTATCTTGCTGATGACAAGTTGAGCGAGGCAACGACAGAAAAATACTAACATACAAAACACCACACTGCATTTTAACTCCTTATTTGCCAGAGATGACGTAACATCTCGTAAAACTGATTGTAACCGTAACAGGGCTGTAAGTGCAGAGTAATGGCTGCACCAGGAGATTAAATGCAATGGCAATTTAAATAGTTAAATAACAAATCCCAAACAGAGGCACCCTTGAAACTGCGCATAACCATGTTTAAGAGGTTTCCAAACAAATCATTATAAAAGTGCCCATGGTTGATACAACCACTGTCACAGAGGCTTTTCATGATACATACAGCTACTCACAATGGAAGCTTGTTCTTGGTAGACTGTTCCATTGACATAGAAGCTTGTCCATAATTCACAAAACCACTGACATGACGTTTTTCCATGGTGTACCTTACCAATCATATATAAGCTTTTCCATGGTAGATCCAACCAACACTAGAGCTTGCCCATGGTCAACCCAACCACTGACATGAAAACCTGTCCATGGTTGACCAAATCATTGCATTGGATGTTTGCCCCTCGTAGACCAAAACAGTAACGTAAGAGCTTGTCCATGGTACACCCAACCACTGATATGAGAGACTGTCCTTAGTTAACCCAACTGCTGGCAAGGAAACCTTCCCATGTAGACCCAGCCACTGACATGGAAGTTTGAATATGGTAGACCCAACCAATTAAATGATAACTTGCCCATGGTAGACCCAAGCACTGTCATGGAATTGTTCCCATGGTAGACCCAACCACTGTCATGGAAGCTTGCACATGGTAGACCCAAGCACTGACATGAAAGCTTGCTCATGGCAGACCCAGCCACTGACATGAAAGTTTGCTCATGACTAACCCAATCACTGATATGGAAGTTTGACTATGACAGACCCAACCACTGACTTGAGAGCTTTCCAATAAAAGATCCAACCATGAACATGGAAGCTTGCCAATAATAGACTCAACTTCTAACATTAAACCCATTCTAAAGCCATTCTCCAATTAATCAGCTATCATTCTAACTCAAGTACACAGCCTTCTATTCTACCTGCACAAACATAGGCCAGAACTCATTCTGTTGTACCACAGGCTGGAATCTACCCTATTGAACTGTCAGTACAGTAAATCATCAAGAATAATGGCAGTGGGTGGAATATTGTGCCTAATTGTTTATTAATACAGTAATCAATGTTCCCTGCAAATACTACCACACCCGTAAAACAAATAATTGCTAGTTCCCAAGCTGTTCTAAGTGAACAGGGAAGTCTCTTCATTAGACTATTTCCTGGCTCCCTGTCAACACTCTATAATATCACTGTGAACACAAAACAGAAATAATACAACTCATCCTTGTCTAATTAATAATCATTTATCTAAGAGTAATACAACACTTAGAGAAGACCTCAAGCTAAATTAAATAGAAGGATATTGGTTTAGAAATGTAAAGCCACCAAAATCACTACATACAACTATCTAACTTTTTTTTTAGATGGAAGTCACAGGAACTTGAACCATCTTTGGCTTGACCCGCTCGACAGTTTCTGGAGGCTAGAAAGAGAGGTGCTAGAACTGGACAGACCAGTTGGCGGTAAAGACAGTTTTCAAGTATCAAATGTACTGTGTTTATTATGCTAAAAAGTCAGAGGCTAGTGGTAAGGATGATTAAAAGTGTATGTCTAGGCATTACCCAAATATATCCCAAACCTACGTCTTCTTTAGATCATATCCCAGCATTTTTTTTCTTTTCTTTTACCTTGTTCCTTTAGTGAGAAACAACTTTCACTACTCCCTCATTATCAAGTTTGTTAAATTCTAGAAGTGCTCACTGCTGGGAGTTTAGTTCCTATAGACACCAGCACACCCAAAGAACTACATATCCCATGAGCCATTTTCCTACACATAGGGGTTGATTTACTAAAAAACTGGAGAGTGCAAAATCTGGTGCAGCTCTGCATAGAAACCAATCAGCTTCCAGGTTTTATTGCCAAACCTTAATTGAACAAGCTGAAGTTAAAAACTAATTTGGCTACCATGCACAACTGCACAAGATTTTGCACTCTCCAGTTTTAGTAAATCTACTCATAAATGTCATCCAGTTAGGGGGCTTAGATCTACTTCAAGTTAAATGATGCTAGTGCTACTTTACTGAGGAAAAAAAAAACAAGAAACACTAAGGTGTGCTCTGATTATATCTAATGACGATTGACTGATAAACTCTGGAACATTGAAAGCTCTCTGAAAGTCTGAGTTGAAGACTAGTTCACATGGCCTTGACCTAGTTTCAACATTCAAAAGATATATATGCATCTATGGAGGGAATGCTTTTGCAGTCTGCACATTTTCATAGACCCATCTACAAGAGAAACTCAGTATACGATTTGTTTATATGTACTCACAAATAAAAGACAACACGTGTTTATATCCTGGGATGATCTGGAAACTTAAGTCTACGACACTCTGCAACATCACCAAGAAACTCTTGGAAGACTGAACTTCCTCCCCTTCCTCCATGCACATGTACCCTTGTGCAATCCAGCAATGCATGCTCAAGGATCTTTCTCGTGAAACTCTTTCAGCATTCAGACTGCACTGTTACATTAGACTGCTATCTAATATTCATATCTAGCTATAGGGGTTGATTTGCTAAAACCAATAAGTTTCCAGGTTTTTTTTGTCAGAGCTTAACTGAACAAGCTGTAGTTAGAAGCAGGTTGGCTACCATACACAGCTGCACTAGATTTTGCACTCTCCAGGTTTAGTAAATCAACCCCATAGTTTAGCTTGTCCTACAAGTGGCTGTATTTCAGCAATACCTTAGGAAGGATGTTGATTACACTCGGGACAATGAAAAAATTTGTGTTGTGATTCAGTCCAGTGGGGGTAGCAAGAAGGTCCATCACAGGGGCTGCTGATTGACATGAAAGGGAATTTGATGAGGCCACCAGTAATTTCCCCAACCCAACTTTTAAGTTTGAGAAGGACGACCGATTGAGTGAAACAATCTTACATCTAAATATGACGAAAAGTGCTTCAAAATCAAAGATGGCTCATAACTTACTTTTTCTACTATACTGTATATATATATATATATATATATATATATATATATCCAGGACAATAAATGCCATTACTAAGAACATGCAACTCTTGCGCTTTCATGATTCAAATTCCTGCATGCTAATTGGACTATTGCTAAGGATAGTCATAGCTTCACTGCGTCCCCCCCACACACACACACCTGAAAGTTGCATAAAGCATAAAAGATGGGCGCTTACAATCACTTCCATTCTTAGCCCGATTTCTGGTACAAAGGTGCTATGGGAAGTTATTAAGAACACAGATTTTAGTAAATTATACTGGCAGTCTTTATCAAATACATATAGTCTATTTAAAATGAATACATAACTGGATGAAAGGATAGATCCACCAGGAGTTATGCTTAAAAACAATACATAAAACATCTAATCTGTATTCTAACTGGAAGAGGCTATGAAAAAATAAAGCAATGTAAGTCTGCCCCTTACCTGCAATCTGACTCTGTCCTTGTGGATTATAAGGACTTGGTGCAGAGTTCAGGGAGGGCCGAGGACTCTGGGTAGGGACACCCACTCTCATACTGGGATGAGGGATGCGCCCTAAATCACTGAGGCGCTCAGAGAACAAACTAGGTTTAGAGTCATCAAGCTTCTGTCTGTGCCCTAGAAATAGCAAATCATAAAACGAGAGTTATTATTATTGTCAGTGAGAATCCTTCCATACAAAGTACAAAACACCCGCCTGATAGCAGGGTTCTGGTCAATCAATTATACAGAACAACCCCTAAACCTATAAAATGTCACATGGGTAAAAAATGGCTCAATGTCAATCTAAAAAAAAGAGAATACATGTCAGCACAACCCTCTCGTTGTAGATGAGACATTGATAGAGCCATCTGAACAGGACTCCTAGAATAGACATATCAGCATGAGCGGGCAATGGTATTAAAAACTGGACTGGGGCACTGTCTTGGACAACGCTTTAAGGGGCTAGAGGCAATACCTAAATAAACCATTTTAATGGCTAGAGACAATGGAAAACCTTTTTAGGAAACTTCAAAAGTTATTTGAGCAACCACTTCATGAAGGATCTGTCATTTGAAATATCTTATTCACTAATCAATTTGATATATGCTATGCAATGTTCAAATAGTTTATTTGCCATAGACATGTTTTTCCAGAGCTAGCTCATCGATAGGAGCTAGCTTTTCGATTCTGCTTCTAAGCTGGGAATCAGGCAGAGAATAAACAATTTAGTACATCGCCTCAATTTGAGTTCAGATTTGCTCCTCCTGGCACTTTTCTTCAGCCAGTGTACTGGTGATATGATGTCTGGCAGATTAGCAGTAGAGGTGATTTGGGCACTTTTGACAACTTGCATTAAATGTCTATTTCAGAGGTTGCAGAAATAACAAGGGGAATCCCTTCGACAAGTCTATAGGTCATAATTCAGTAAAATGATCCAGATGCATAAACTGGGCCTTCACCAAGTACAAGGAGTTCCACACCAAGCAGGGAAAAGTACCTGAAGTCACCTTCTGGCTAGTTCTTATAAGCTAATATTCCTCCATACCCATAATACACCTAATAAAAAAAGGAACGAGGGTGTTTTTGAGCCAAGGGAAATATTGCATGTGTATTTTGTTGTTAAGTGTATGCAAATGTTAAATCTATTCTGTATGCTTGCCATGATGCCTCGGTCTATACCAGCCTTTTTCAACCTCATTACCCCAGAAGAACATTGATATAATTTTCAGGTTTTGTGGAACCCCAGCTAAAACAAACTAATTGGGAAAATGCCCTTTACATTTGTGGGTCAGTAAAAAGAATCCCCCCCCCCCCTACAGTGGTCGTCCGTGGGAATGCTACCCTTAAGAGGGCTAAAAAGATCAATGGTTTTATACAGCTGGCTCTGCCAAGTAGCTTTGGCCATAGAACTATATAGGCACCTTTAAATGGGAGAATAATCAGCCACAGCTCAAGGAACCCCTAGTAACCTCTTTAGGAAGCCTGGTTTCTCTATACAATTTTCTTACCAAGAGAGTATGACAGTAACAGGACTTCCTATTGCAGGCTGGCAATACTAAGCAAGCAACATTGTCAGCCATCAATTCAAGCACCTTTAATTGGCAGTTGGAATGCCTATCTGATAGACCTGACAATCAGTCCATCAGTCAACTTAGCGAGCACACACAACAGACAACACTGCTGCTGATTGCATGGCAGAAGCTTGGCATTGTCAGACTGAAACAGAAAATATTGCTAGTGGAACTATCCCCAGAATGAAGATTTGCTATAGATTTACAAAAATATGTTTGCTTAAAAAACTGTATAGAATGACATATGACATCAAACATACTGAAAATACTTTTTTTTTGTTTACATACACTTTTAAGATCTTAAAGCTGGTTCAGGTCCAAAGTTCCCATACTCCTGCTCTCCAGGTCCTTCCGGAGGACAAGACAATAGGATCTTCCCTGCTATGAAGCCACCAAGATGTCTTATATGAATACTGAGAATATGGTATTTTCTTCCGAGAATTATTTATTAGACAAAAGAAACTGGCTGTGACAAGCTTAGCTTCCAGGACACGCAGAAAATTACCATTTCAGGCTTTTAACATATCCTCACCCTCTGCAATACAGGGTACAGGCCAAATGGAAGACTGTCCACGCTCTGTGTGAAAACTAATGGAAATAAAACAGCCGCACTCCAAAGACATCAGGTCTTCCTTCCAAATTTATTGAATTGGACAAAGCACAGAGCAACCCTGCCTAGGATCGCCCACTGTAATGTGTTTCACCCGTGTGTGGGCTTAATCATAGAGAACGATTTAATCTTTACAAGGAAGCCCACGCAAGTGTGAAAACAAAAAAAAAGGTTTAAGCAATCCTAACAGTCATCTAACACTTTGCCAGCAACTCAGAGCAATACCTGCTATGCTTTTATTTCTATCTATTGAACATGTTTCATTATGCAATAGTAAAATGTACTCAGCTTACAGTGAAGAATGACATATACTTCTGTCAGAGCTCAGTGAGTCTACTGGCTTATTTTTAACGTGTTCACTAAGTAACTCCGGAATTCAGTAATGACTCATCTTTGCAATGCAGCCTTCTGCCTCAGGTTTTATAATCTTTACTGGAATCATTATTAAAAAATAGGTACATTTATAACCAGCACCACCTCAATATGGCCCTCTCTCCCCTCTACAAATGTAAAAGCAGAACCCTCTTGCACAGAGGCAGACTACTCCCACCTTCAAGCTACTTAGCCAGCACTTGGTCAACCATGTTGTTGACACTGGTCCTGACCAAAGTTAGAGCCTGCAATACAAGAATATGTGTTCTGTCAAATGGATGTAAAAGACCCTGGAGGAATGTTTTCGGGTGACATATGGTTGTAGACCCACAGGCTGAAATTATGGAAGTCCAAGCCTAGTTAGGAGCCTTCATGTTGCTAGTGCCCTGTCCAATACAGAGCATGCCTAGCTGACAGCCGTTGAGTGGAATAGCTACCTATCTCCCTGCTAAGTTGTAGTGAAGCAAGGATAGGAATGAAAGACATGGAGGATGCCCCTTCAGAAAAAAGTCCTACACTGTACTGGAGGACACTGTGGGCCCACCTACATTCCAGAGTGTTGAACAGTGGAGGAGAGCGCCATGTGCCAAGGAACCATGGAGTAAGGCAAGTGTATCACCCCCTAAGCCAGGGGTCTCCAAACTTTCTAAACAAAAGGTCAATTTACAGTTCTTCAGACTTTAGGGGGACCAGACTGTGGTCAATGGGAGTAGAAAATATTCAGGAGTTTTTGGGAGTAATCATGGCTCCATTTTGATATTAGGGGGAGGAACAGGGCCCCATGTTGGTGTCAGTAAAAGAAATAGTGTCCTATTGTTAGTGTCAGTGGGAGAAATAGTGCCCCATCATTGGTGTCAGTGGGAGGAATAGTGTCCCATCGTTGATGTCAAGGGGAGGAGTAGTGTTCCATCAGTGGTGTAAGTAAGAGGAAAATTGTCCCATTGTTGATGTCAGCGGAAGAGTAGTGTCCCATCGTTGGTGCCAGTGGGAGGAATAGTGCTCCATCACTGGTGTCAGTGGGAGGAATAGAGTCCCACCGTTGATGTCAGTTTCGTGGGAGGAGTAGTGTCTCATCATTGGTGTCAGTGGGAGGAATAGTGTCCCATTGATGATGTCAGTGGGAGGAGTAGTTTCTCATTATTGGTGTCAGTGGGAGGAATAGTAGTGTCCCATTATTGATGCCATTGGAAGGAATAGTGTCCCATCGTTGATGTCAGTGGGAGGAATAGTGTACCACCATTAGTGTCACTGGGAGGAATAGTGCCCCATCATTGATGTTAATGAGAGGAATTGTGTCCCATCATTGGTGCCAGTGGAAAGAATAGTGCCCCATCATTGGTGTCAAAGGGAGGAATAGTGTCCCATCATTGACGTCAAGGGGAGGAGTAGTGTTCCATCGGTGGTGTAAGTGGGAGGAATAGTGTCCCATTGTTGATGTCAGCAGGAGGAGTAGTGTCCCATCGTTGGTGTCAGTGGGAGGAATAGTGCTCCATCATTGATGTCAGTGGGAGAAATAGAGTCCCACTGTTGATGTCAGTGGGAGGAGGAGTTTCTCATCATTGGTGTCAGTGGGAGGAATAGTGTCCCATCGATGATGTCAGTGGGAGGAGTAGTTTCTCATTATTGGTGTCAGTGGGAGGAATAGTGTCCCATTATTGGTGTCATTGGAAGGAATAGTGTCCCATCATTGATGTGAGTGGGAGGAATAGTGCCCCATCATTGATGTTAATGAGAGGAAGCGTGTCACATCATTGGTGCCAGTGGAAAGAATAGTGCCCCATCATTGGTGTCAAAGGGAGGAATAGTGCTCCATAGCTGGTGTCAGTGGATGGAATTGTGCCCTAAGGGCAAGCAAAAGGCCACTACTAACCCCCAGGATGCAGTTTGGAGACAACCGTCTTAGGCAGTTTAACTTTAAAGTGGACACAGCATCAGATATACAGTATTTGTACATTCTAAATCTATGCAAGTTGATTAATGTGTAAGCATGGCATTTCATCTAACAGAGAACACAGTGCTCCCTCTGACAATGCCTATATATGTTTTTTTTTTCCAAAGGATGGACCCCTTTTTGTGTTGGTAATATTCAGGGTTAGTATTCAGGGTTAGTATCTACTTCCTGGACTAAGATGACAGCTCAGAGATTACACTGCCGAGTGCAGGTCCCGGCTGTGTTCACAAATGTCTAGCACATATCAGCCCCACACCTCGAGACAAAGAAATGCTTTCTCCTGCCTGCAGCACAGTGATGACATCATCACAGCCTAGGCAAGGTCACAGCCTGGCATTCATAATAAAAGGTGGAGCAATATTATGACCTATCAGGAGTGTATGAATGCAGACCTATAAAATTACTGAGAGGTCCACTTTTGTCAGCTAATAGTCACACTGTTCCATAGGCATCATGAGGTGCAGTGGACTGGAAAGTGCTGCTTTGGCTCCTTATTATTAACTTCCAAAAAAAAAAAATGAACCTCATATACTATATATCCTTTGTTTGGAGGGGTGCTC